AGCCCAAGAGAAACCAGGTCCCCAGACCCCCGCCGTCTAACACCACTATCTGAACGGGGGCGGGGGGGAGATGGCACGGTTCCTCAACCCCGTCCGCCACAGCAGCCGGGACCTCGCCCCATTCTCTGACCATACACCACCAAAACCACCACAAACCCAGCGACCAACAACCCAACCCCGCCGTAAGCTCCGCCAGAAAATAGAAACTCACGGAGAGGAAGCCAACCGAAGCCAGCGATAGAGAGTAAGAAGGCTTACTACCAACCATCGAAGGTCCGCCAGCGACGAGAAGCAGGGCCACCCATAACCGACCGGAATCCGACCAAGAAGATGGCACTTCCTCTTGCTATTCCGCCATCGATGGAGAGCCATTTTGCACCAAGCCACAACAATTTTGGGGCGCATAAGGTCCAGTACGGGAGGAGCGGTTAGGGGCGACCACTGGTGCAGCCCCACCGGCGCTGATGGAGGCAAATCAGCGTCAAATCGGAGCGGCGGGCTAGGTTAAAATTTTTCCTCTTTTTTTCACAGAGAGAGAGAGCTACGAGAGCTATATCCAATTTTTTTCGAAGATGTATGAATTTACATTACAGATATTGATTAACACAAATGTATAAATGAAATTAGTTTGAATTCACTATGGAAAATTATACGATATATTTTTATATTTTTTAGTATATCTTAATCTCTTTACATATTTATCAATATGGATATATGATATTAGGCCCAACACTGGGCTAGGACAAACTAGGCGATCGCGCAGGGCCCATTCATAAAATGGGCCTCATTCATTTTGTATAAATAAATTACAATATATTTATCATATGTCAAAAAAATACTTTTCACGAGGCCCAACCAAGTTGACATAAGTTCAACTTGTAGTTTTCTTGGTCAAGACTGATATAGCCCTATTGTCATGGTCCGGTTCAGCTAGAGATTGCTCGACTGAAGGCTGCAGACGACCCCACTAAGTCGAGATAAACGATGTCGACTCTGCCCATCAGCTATTCAAAAGCCGTCGAACCAGTCATGGTACCTAGTCGACTTCATAAAGTCGACTGGATACAAGACGACTTCATCCATGATGACGAGCAGGCGTTCTCATAACCCTCGGATACTCGTATAACTTCAGATCGACTCGATAAGGTTATAAGTCGACTTATAAGGACCTCCGACGAATCGATGAGCAGATGCGACACATGGAAGGCTCCTAAGTACAAGTTTATACAGGATAAGAAGGAATCTAGATGCTGACTCAAGAGTACGCAGAATGTGAACCGACCAGGGCATTTTGGGTACTTCATGTAAGTCGGCCAGGGCATTTTTGGGACTTCAAAATAAGTGTTTCTACTCCTATATAAAGGAGCTGAGGTAACCCTAAACCCTAATTATTATTCTCATTCAATATTCAGCTGCTGCTCCCCCTGAGCGGAGCTTCTTCTCTCTTCATTCACTGACTTGAGCGTCGGAGGCTCTTCACCGGAAAACACTTTCGGTGTTGAGTTCTTGCAGGTCTTCACTGCGGTCCACAGGCGACTTGGAGACGATTCGAACAGACCGGAGCTCATTCCACCGGTTCACTCCAGATCTAG